TCTGAGGGGAAATCGAGAGATAAGGACTGTACACCTGTTTGAAAATTCATATGTTTAATAAGCTCTACCTTAATTAATACGTCACATAAACCGTGTGACTTTACAACTAATGTTAAGTATCAAAAAATCTTAACAAAGGATGATGATAATAGAAATAAGAAATTTGGGCTAAAGGACTCTGTTGACAAATATTCAACCAACAAAGGAGCTTGTCCTTGAGATAAAGGTTATAAAAAAATTAAAAAACTGTTAAATAAAAAAAATATTTCTTTTTAAAGCACTCTTTACCTGGCAAAAACTACCGAAAAAGTATAACCATTAAAATTTGTACCTTGAACTTTGATATCACGAACTAACCTGGGACTCAGAAAAAAGTAAGTATCCGGAGATAGAAAATATTTTACGGAAGAATCTTGAAAACGCTACAAAAAACATGTTATTGGAGATTTAAAAAAAAAAGGCTTTAAAGATTTAGCTTTAGAGTTACTGATATGACAGACTATCCATCATTCGAACTCTTTACATCGGTTACTACCAGCACACAGTACAACAGAGCCTACAAATCCATGTGTGCTCTTTATAATGTGAAGTGAATGAAAAAATTGTACTTCAATATGTAATGGGATTATGTTGATGATGGAGAGGATAAAAATATAGAGCTGGAAGATTGCATTGTATTGTATGGTATTTCAGGAACAGGATGTTTAACAAAATCATTTTGTAAGTTGTGTACATTTTTCATTCAATAGAAACTTATTTTCAGAATAAAACCAACAATGTTTAACAATTATCTTCCTACCACTCCACATCTAACACTATTATGCAACGCACTCGCTAATGCAAAACAATTTTCGTATGCATATAACTACCACCTGCGTAAGCTGCACACGATTTCGCATATTTATACAGCACACGCCAACCAATGGTGCAGATGACTTATGCACGTTACACTGCACGCAATCTTAAATTACATTGCAGATCACCAGCTGGCGCACGTGGCGCTATAGGCGCTCATGCATATTGCAGCGCGCATAAACTCAAACAACGCGCGGAAATTCAAGCAGTGCTGCAGGGGGCGCACGTATACTCAAGCAGTGCACCCACAAGGAGTGCGAAGGACTACAGTTTCTACTTGCCCATTGGTGGCAGTAGGGACTACTCTACTTGGAAAGAGGGGTCCGCTCACCACGGAGAGGAAGTGGGCCAAAATTTCCTGGTGACTCGAGCCCACCTGGGCTGGAATTGCCATAGTTTATCTACTGTTATACATGGTTAAAATTAGAATTTGTGTAATTATAAAAAAATACGAGTCCCAGAGAGTACGAAAAATTACAAGCCGTTATAGAAAGTAAAAATTTAGGCATTTAGTGTATATTACAAATGTTAAAAAATGTGACACTTCGGTTTTATTTCCGAGAAGCTTACAAGTCCCTTGATCACAAAAACTAGAGTGGCGTCTTAAAAAGTGAAAAAATTAGTAAACATTATAAAAAAAGTCAAATAAAATTTTTATAAGCCACAAGGTACGTTTTAAATCATTCTGAAAAATGCAAAAGTTTTATAATCACATAAAATATAACTTCTACAAGTTCAACAAATTTAAAGTACCGCTGGTCCAAAAAGCTTCAAATTTCAATGAAAAAGTCAGAATTTTAATAACACAAAATATGTATTCTTAGACATTTTAAGACGATTATAAATTACAAGCAGGTATTTTTTGGGTATTTTATTCTGAAAAATTAGCAACTTTTACGACCACAAAAAAATATAAAACTCACGAGTGCAGCCCTGATAAAAAAATTATAATTTTGATACAATACAGAATATATGTTTCAAGGAATTTAAAATTTACTATAAGAACTATAAAAAGTTATTTTTTCGGAACTTTATAGAAAAAAATTAACGAACTTTTCAATCGTAAAGAAGTTTCAGTCCAACAATAACAAAAAATCTTAAAACCTAATAAAAAAAATTAAATTTTTATAATACACTATTTGCATTTAAATGAAAGTTGTTAATTTTTGAAGTGCAAAAAAATACTCTTCTCTACCGTGATAACTTTTCATAACAAACACTTTGTATAGTCAAATTTCACCCTTTTTTATTGGGGATTTGTATTCTTTCATGCTACAGAGAATTATATTTTATTACTAGTCTGGAACTTAAAAAAATTTTTAAAAAGTGGAAAGAATACTTTTTTAGACGGTTAAAACTCCTCACGAGGCACACTTTTTATGATGAAAGTTTCAATGTTTTGTTGTGGGCACTTACATTTTTTTGCTTAGGCAAAACTAGTATGTTTTTAAGTGAAAAAAAGTTTTTGTTTCAGACTGTTTTAATTAACTATAAATTTTTTAAAACACACCCTTTCCATCACATTTTAAATAATTATAAAAATCATACTTTTTAACTTTTGTGTTGTACACTAAATGCCTAAGAACGCATACTGTGCTTCCTGAAAATTCTTATTTCTTTATCACGGCTTGTAATTGTTCACACTCCCTGGGAGTTGTATTTTTTCGTTATTACAGAACTTCTTATTTTTACCATGTATAACCTTAATTAAATTACACTTTTTGAGTATTTGCAAGTAACTGAAAATAGCTGCAATCACAACTTTTGTATGTGCAAAATTTTTAAATTGTGACTTGTTTTTTTTGTCCTTAGGTACTCTGATTCTTTTTCCGAATATTAATTTTATGGTATTGTTATTAACTTACTTTTTGTGTTTGAATTGCTGAATACAAATAAATAGTGATTGTTAGTAAAGAGAGAAAAAAAATTTTATGTACATAAAATCTACTAGTTATTTGACATCACAAGTCACCTAATTTAACTTTTTTAGAACAGTGAACTTGTAACTTTAACATGAGCTTGTAATTTTATTACTCACATTGTCCAATTTCACAGAAAAAGTCTATAGTTACTCATTTGGTAGATAAAAATTTTAATCTTCCTTCACCTCAATATTTTTCTAACAATTTTAAATACATTTTACAGTATTATTAGCAAACAATTACCCTCCACAGTTTAGTGAACGTTGTATCAAAAAAAGATTATGTTTGTTAAGATCTGGACCAAATATTAATAATAAAAATAATATCTAAGATCCTGTTGAAGTAATTGGCTCATTGGTTTTGCCCTTCAACCGTAAGTTGGATTATAGGTTGAAGAAGTTCTGTGCTAAACATTTTATCAAAGTTATTTTTAAGAGTAATAACAAATTGCCTTTCAATAATATGCTTGGCAAGGATCCAATAAAAAAGCTTGATATTCCGAATGTTGTTTATAAAATAGATTGCTCTGACTGTATCTACTGTTATATTGGCCAGACTCTTAGGAGATTTGGCATTAGAATAAATGAGCATGCAAGTGATATAAAACACAAACGTGAGAAGTCAGCTTTATACCAGCCCCAGCTTGACACAGGGCACTCTTTTCATTTTAATGAAAATGAAATTAAAATTGTCGATAAGGAACAAAACTATTATAAAAGATTACTGTCTGAAATGATTTTTATTGAAAAGACAGACAATATTAATAGAATTTTAGACTGTGATAATTTAAACAAATTTTTTAAAAGATACATCCATTTACTACTAAAATAAAATAATAGCTTCGTTCCTTAAACAAACTATGTAGCTCTTTGTAAATCATAGTTTCGCGTGTCTTGTTTCGTCCCATATACTCTGTAATGTTTGACTATATTTTGTTCCATCCCATATACTCTGTATTATCAAACTTCATGTATTGTTAATCATCTGACGTAGTGCCCTCGTTGGGTATAGACGTGTTTGATTTTTCAAACAGAAAAACGTATTTGTAAGTTTTCTATATTGTTATTTTATAAATATTTTATACATATTCCTTACATGTTTACTATATTCATTTACTAAGATGTGATGACTATATTAGTGATACCTCTTGTAATCACTCGCATTGCATATTTATTACTTATACTTAGGACTTGAAAAGGCTCCTTCCCAAAGAGGAGAGAAACGTCGTCAGGGGAATAAATTACAGTTTTTAACAGCAACAGCCATTGGTGTCAGTATTTATTGCATTTTGTAACTTTAACGATTGAAAGTTTTTTGAACATCTTAATTTTTATCCCTCTCGTTTTACTTTAACTGTCCCAGAAAGCATAGTTTTAATGATGTCAAAAAAAAAAATTCTTTTTGTCTAGAGTTGCATTTTTCCGCACTGGTAAGACTTTTTTAGCACACGAAGCTTGTAATTTGTGTTTTCAAAAATCTTGAGAAATACTTGGAACCAAGAGGGGCAAATAGCTATTGACACACTTATGGTGGTTAAGTTACAACGATTCAGATCTTGTATGTATTGTTACTTGAGACAAAGCTAAGGGTTGAAGATATCAGATATGAGCAATTGTTACTTCCACCTTTGATGCGTATATGATCTGAGATCTTCTGTTCTTTGGTTGGTACAAATTATATCAGTAAAGTAGGTGGTAATATTTACTTGTTGAGTAACAGTGACGCAAAAACGTTTTGCCTGTGAACCCTAAGTAATTATAGGGATGCAAGGTGTAAAAGATGTACTCAGTGCTCATCGGAGGCAATGGTATTTTCCATCGCAAAATTACCGTCGGCTCCAAGGCTTTTTTAATTCATGTCTGTTGAACCCCAGATGAACAGCACTTGTATACCAAACAACTTTTTTTGTTGTGACGTTACGAATGACCCTTAAAAACGCTTAAGGTGGGAAAGAAGTATAATGTTATTGTTTGTTAATTTTATGTTGCAAATGAAACCTTAGGCGACAGTAATTGATATCATTTTATTCAGTAATACTGGTGAAAAAAATGAGCTTATGTTTAGGGTTATTATTAGTGATATTATTAGATCATTAAAGCTTTTGAGTCTTACTTAAATGATGCATGAAACTAATTGACAAATAAGATTACATTGGCACTTAAAATCCATAAAGTGCATTTAAAAATCTGATTTCATGTAATGTAAATGAACGATCATACTCACCTCAGCCCATTGGTAGAAGAGTTTTCCAGCCGCTCGTTGTAGTACATAAGTACGCCTTAGTCCTGTAGGATAGCTTCGGTTATTTACGGACACTGATGATCTAAACATAGGAAAATTTAGTCTCATCCATACTGGCCACTGTCCCTTATTACACTGATGAACAAAATGAGCACACTCAAGTAGTACAGCAGCTCGAGCAACTACTGGTGCATATGGCTACAATAATATAATAATATTTATTGTCAGTTATTTCTGTGCTACACAAACGTAAGCTGTTAGCATTAAAAAATGTTTCAGTATGTATCAATGCTTATATCTGCGTACGATGAACAATGTGAAATATTCAAGTCGTTACTGTTACCAAAATAACTTGTTGTTGGACTGTTTTGAATCGCTCAGTTGTAAACAAATGCATATGCATTTGTATATATCCCTGTATTATATAGATGTATAAACAAAAAATTCTCAGTTCCCCCATTACCTCTGCTGCCCTTCAGCTTCCTTCAACTTCCCCGTACTTAACATAGTTATACTCTCGTTTTAAATGATTTTTGATACAATAATATTTAATCAAGAAGCCTCCTACCTCCTTACGCCCCTCCTTCCACATTGCTACCTTGCTACCTCTAAGCTCCCCCTCTACCTCCCCCCACATATTTTTACAGCTAATCGTAAGTCCTAGCTTTTTAGGTGATGGATTATTAATGTATCATATTCTGTATTCTACAATGTATAAATGTTTGAACTGTTCAGCAGTTTATTACAGTCAGTTAAAGATATAGAATAATTACTATAAAAATAAAATTATATCACGTTCTCGGTTCTTACAAAAAATGCATTTCACCAACGTTATTAAATAATGAAGAATTTCTATACAAACATAAATTATTTTATTAACTTGTTGGTTTTGGAGCATATAATGAGAATTATTCTCAATAAGAAAACTAATCCATAGTTTAAAATAACAATTTTTAAATTGTCATACGAATTTTTTTACTTTTAAATTTCAAAGTAACACGTTCATTATAAATATATGATAATATTATAGCCGGAAGAAAACACAAACATTGAACAAAAAAACGACTCAAAATAATGTTTAATTTATAAATAAAATTAAAACTAAAATCTGATAGCAAAAGATTAAAAACAGTTGTTGCAATTTTTTTTTTATGTAGGTAGTAACGGAAAGCTTTTGAAGACAGTTTCATCAATATATGTCATATAGCTGTGACTGGAGGCGTGGCCCAGAAACTGTTATTCACAAAAATTACGTGACTAGAGAGGTGGACAATCTGAACCAATAACCCAATAATCCTAAGAATTTGTAAAAAATAGCACCTCATTTTGCTCGTCAATAAAATGTCACTACTGAGATTGCTTGGCTGCTATCAATCATTTGACCTATTGAAGCTAACAAACCTATAGAAAATTGAGCTAATGGACCTATAGAAAAGTAAGACCCTCGCGTTTAAAAACTTATATAGCTGCTGCACTTTTCTCTCTCACAGTTTTCATATTCTGTAGACTTTTCCTCTTGTATTTCGTTAGCAATACGTGATTTATAAGGAAAGATAGTATAACCTTCATTTTATTATACAAAATGCTGTGGAAAAACTTGTTAAACGTGCTCAAACCTAAATAAGTCTCTCGTTTAGTTACCCTAAAAATATGTGCAAGTGGTTGTCCAGGAAAGTAAGAGATCATAGTAGATGTCTGCAATCGTCTCTCAGCAGCAATAGTTCTTCATCTTATTTAAAATATGAAGAAAACTAAGTAACAACGGTGGAAGTGAGCCATTGCCCCTTACGTGTTCTATTTTGCTACCATACTCTAGCTGTAGAATTTTTCAGACTGTGACTAAAATGGACCTATAAGACTATGTACACAGCTAACGTTTATTATACGTTAGTCAAAATCTTGGCTTAAAATAATGGAAAAGTATAGAAGTAGGAAGGGAAAAAAAGAAAACTTAAAAGAAAATCAGTTCTTACCCGATACTTTTAGCTGAATCATATTTTCTTGCTAATACGCTGCAATAACTTTATGTGTTATATTTCATTTAAAGTCTTCCTCATTTTCAATTAACTTTGAAATTCTTTAAAGTACGTCTTCGAAAAAACCGAAAAAACCTTTTCCGCCCTCGGGTGGTTTTGGAAGGCTGGTACTTCCTCGGGTGGAAAAGCAGTTTTCCGGAACTCGTTTGAAAGGTCTCCTTTACGAACCTCGTTACGTCCCTCGCCTTCAGCTTGGGCCGCAAACCTCTTGGTTCGCAAACAGAGACTTTTCAAACTCGTAGGAAAACTACTATTTTCGCACACCTTTTCCGCACACTATGTGGGAAAATTGACCTTCCACACTAATATCAGTGCGGAAAACATTTTTTTTCCGCACACTATTGCGAAATAGTGGTTTTCCTACGAGTTTGAAAAGACTCCGTTTGCGAACCAAGAGGTTTGCGGCCCGAGCCGAAGGTGAGGTCCGTAACGAGGTTCGTAAAGGAGACTTTTCGAATGAGTATCGGAAAACTGCTTTTTTGCCCGAGGAAGTACCAGCCTCCCAAAACCACCCGAGGGCGGAAAAATAATAAACGTCCTTATCTGGGTTCACGCTTTCACGCGCCAGATTCTATAAGCACCCGCGATCGCTCAGAGTTTTTAGAACAGTACGATAAAGTAACTTTAAACGGAATCGCGCATTTTAAATTAAAAAAAAAACTTATTGAATATTGTGAGTAAGATGTTAGAATATTACGTGAAGCTTGTACAGCTTTCCAAAAAATTTTTATGCATCTAGGGAAAGTAAACGCCTTTGTTAAAAGCGTGACAAAAGTGGGGGCTTGCTCTGTTCTATACAGAAAGAAATTTTCAAAAAAAGATATAATCGGTATAATTTATTCAACCGAATGCACTCACGCGGGGCAACTTTCTGAAAAAATTCATACATTGGCTTTTGTGAAAAGAAAAAGTAAGGAATGTAGGCATCATTTATGCAGGTAGATTGCAAGAGTATCACTTAATAGGAGGTCCTCTCGTTGATGGTTACTTTAAGCCTCAAGTAAAAAAAAAAACTCGAAAGGAACTGTGTTTCTGTTTCGTGGATATTATTTTTATGGTTGTATTCACTGTTTCCCTAACGATCGATATTAAAAATTAAATAATAACGAAACTTTCACTAAACAATACGAAAATACAATGAAAAAAATGTTTAAAAATGAAAGAGCACATTGTGGCACCTGGGCTTAAAAGGGTGTAAGAGTCGTGTACATGGATGTTAACTAAAAAAGTTTTCCCACTTTTTCAAATAATATTTGCAAAAATTTTTTTGCATTTGATTCGTCGGGTTACTGTGGGTATTACTGGCACTGCTCCAATTACTGGCAGTCGATAGAAATAAATACACACAAAATTATTTTATAACGATGACTATGCAAAAAATTTTTATTGTAAAGTAGATAACTGCACAATCCACATTGCTACCTTGCTACCTCTAAGCTCCCCCTCTACCTCCCCCCACATCTTTTTACAGCTAATCGTTCCAATTTCACAGAAAAAGTCTATAGTTACTCATTTGGTAGATAAAAATTTTAATCTTCCTTCACCTCAATATTTTTCTAACAATTTTAAATACATTTTACAGTATTATTAGCAAACAATTACCCTCCACAGTTTAGTGAACGTTGTATCAAAAAAAGATNAAGAAACAAGTCTTTGGATAAACAAAAATCTTAATTTTTGGATAAATGCAATGAAAATTAATTTTAATTTTTTTTTTTTTTTTTTATACTAGTATTTGGTACAATATTAGTCGCTGCTGTCGAATTCCTGGCAGTGATTTGGTAAGGTACAGCCATCTGACCTAACAAAGTTGTCAACTACTAAAGCCTCTAGCTCAGTATTTGTCTTTGCCTTCTTAAGATATTTTTCAATCAGTAAACAAAAAGAAGAGTATAACAAAAACTCCATCAGTTATATCAGGTCCTCTGTTGCAAATAATCAGTGAAAAAAAAATTATATTTTACAGTATTGCACGGCCAGTAATTCAAATTTAGACAGTATTGGGGGCCTGTAATACGTGCATGGTGTCAGCAGTAGGAGCATGTTGACTATTTGCAAAAATATTTATAATCAATAATATGATATTCTTTATGTCAATTAAAAAAATAATTATTGCTGTTTATTAAATAAAGTCAATAATAAAAAAATGTATTAGACTAATTCATTCTTCTTTTTAATGTCATATATTTAAGCAGCCTAAGTTAAAAAAGGGCTAGTAATACCCACAGTTACCCTTATCAGATTCTCTTTAGTTTTTTTTTCTTTTTTTTTTTTTTGTTAGGCAGAGGCAGGGAAAATAGTAGTGCACGCTTTATTCTTATACTGTCAGGCTGAAGTGTCCACGATCCAAAACGTTTTTTTGTACAGGAAATACGCAAGGAACCTAAGAACCTTCGTTCTAAAATAAAGAGATCTTAGAATGCATAAGAATCACCCAATTGCTGAAACCGTCTATATGCTTTTTACGGCGGTCGTATGGAAAATAATTTTATTCATTATACAGATAAAGGCAACAAAACGATGAAATATACAGATGTTTGCTTAATATACCCTTTTATTTGTAAAACAGGGACATTTCTACTTAACCATCCAAAAATGTATACAGGGAATGACTGTTTCGAATTATCAGGAAAAAACTTTAAAAATATTACAGAAAATTTCAAAGGCCTAATATAATGTAAAATTCTATCACTACGGAATTTATTGCACTCTATAGTCCCTAAAAAATAAATATTCATTTACTTTTTGAGTTATGTCACACGTGTATGGCAGCATCCTTTCATGAAGAACGTTTTCAAGATTTAGCGTCAGATAGTGTTTTATGTGGTACATGAGTAATAATAAAAATAAAGAAAGCTTTACATCTAGGGTATGAATTATCAAAAATTAATCTCATTCGAAAATATTAAGTAGCTTTTTTTTTTTTTTTTTTTTTTTTTTTTTTTTCCATGAATACCTACTTACGCAGTGTACTTATTTTTAGGCCTTATTGTGAACAAGTATATATGGCCTTGCTACAGTAAGGCGCATCGTTACATTATATTGGTATGTATTACAGTATTAATTACATATTACAATTGTTAGTGACATTTTCATATTGTTGGATATTACAGTTATGGCTTCGTTGGTACGGTGATGATGTCACTTAGACCACCTCGAGAC